AAAGAGAAAGAAAGAAAGAAAGGTAGGTTCCCTGGGTAGACAAATTTCATGTAATCAGATAAAGTTTCACTTAGTTTAATTTGAAATACTAACATGACTGGGTCATCTCTCCTTTATGCCACTGGACAGAATAGGCAAACCTGGCTTTTCCCCAGGGTCAATGTGAAGTAAACAATGACCAACACCCTAACATTTAAGGAAATGTTAATATTATAACCAAGTATGTGGTAGGGATAGACATTAACTAGACTTACTGTGGTGATCATTTCACAATCTCGACAAATATCATAGGTTGTAAACCTGAAGCCAATATAATGTTTATATCAACCATGGCATAATAAAACTGGAGAAAACAAACAGGAAATGCTGGCTAGTCAGGGGAGGCACTGCACCTCCCCTGAGCTTGTGCCAAGAGGGTACCTGGGGCTGAATGGGCGATGGAGTCAGGTACAATGAGGTGAAAGGTGAGACAGTGGAGGTGGGGGCTGGGGGCCTGGCTGTTGGGTGACTTCCAGGAGAGTCCTAGGCCTGGAGAAACGGGGTGGGCAGGGGCTCTGCCCCGAGGTGTAGGAGCTGATGGGTTTGAGGCAATGTGGGACTGAGAATGTATGTCCTCCAGGCACGTGACTTTTCTACCTGATGCCACTTCACCTCTGCAGGGAGTTCCAGAGAAGGCCCGAGGCAGCTACAAGTGGCACTCTCACCTTGTCCCTGGAAACAGTGACTGCAGGGGCACTGAGCAGGTTTTCTTTTTTTCTTTTTTTTTTTTTTTCTCAAACGTTTCTTTTTTTTTTTTTTAATAGAGGCATGCTTTATTTATTTATTTGTTTGTTTGTTTGTTTTTTGTTTATACATGCACTGGGTACAGTCAGAAGCGTGGGAGGGTGAGAGAATTCACCAGAGCCAGAGCGGGGAGCAGAGCAGGCAGAAGGACCGAAGTACACTGCTGAGGGGAGCAGCGGGCGGCAGGAGAGGTCTGCGCGCCATGCGGGACCCTCCTCCGGTGGCTGGGGAGCAGCCGGGGATCAAACCAGCGCCGCAGAGGCTGCAGGCAGCTTCGCAACCCAGCGCTCAACCGCTGCGCCACCGGGGAGGCCCTGAGCAGGTTTTCTGAGATCCCATGCAGATGGGGTAAAGGAGGAAAGAGTCCTGGAGACCTCGGTGGCTTTTGCAGGTCTTTTATTTAGATTGACCAGGCCTATGGCAGGCAGGGGTGCTGGGGGGCCAGGAGGCTGGCAGTCCTTCCAGCCCCCAGCAAAACCTCACTCTGTCTGGGCTCTCTCTGGTGTTCTCTCTGCTTCTCTTCTTCTTCTCTTGGCTTCTGTTTGTTCTTGGCTTTTGCTGGTGTCCCGGTGATGCCGCCCTTATAAACTCGGTCTCTTAGCCCAGGTGTACCCACTTCAGGTGCCCGCCATCAGGCATGCATTCAGGATTCCCTCATCTATCCTGATGGTGGGAGGGCAGAAAAGCCTGATACTTTCTCCTTACCCTACAGTGACACACTGGAAAACTCCCCAGGGGGCTTAATCCCTTCCCATTAGGATTGAAATGTAGGAGTCCCCTTGTGCCCCAGAATCCAGCTGTTCCGTGTGAAGAGGCATCCTTGGATGTTTCACTCTACCTACCTGGGTCAGATGGCTTCCATTGGCCAAACCAGTGCTTTCATGCTTGAATCCTTCTCTGGAGCATAAAGGGGTTTCTCTCTGTTGTCTTTGCCCTTAGCCAAACTCGGGCAAACCCAAATTTAGTCTCCTATTAAATTTTTCCATCAATGCATTCACAATCCATCCCACTCCATTCTTCTCCATTTCAAGCCTATTTTATTTAGTTCCTGTTGCATCACACACACAAAAAAAAGATGAAAGAACCTCAACCCTCTCTCCCAAGCCTTAGTCAACACTGTACCCTAATTTTCCCCAATGAGAGCTAACCCTGAACAAAATCAACAACCTAGTACCAGCTAACACCCTGTGATCTCAACCTCCTCCCATTCCTGCAAGACTGGCTCCAGGAGGAAGCAGAAAGGCTGCTTGCCCCCAGCCCAAGGCTCCAGGAGGCAGTCCTGGCTGCTTGCCACAGAGCCCCTGTTCTTGTTCCCTATCCATTCACACGGAACAGCAGTGTCCCTCTGTAGGGTAAGGAAAAATGTCAGGCTTTTCTGCCCTCCCGCCATCAGGATAGATGATGGATCCTTGCGGTCCTGAATGCATGCCTGATGGCGGGCACCTGGAGTAGGGTGTGGGCAGAGGTAGATGGGATTCACCTGGGCTGAGACTGGGCTTTTAAGGGCGGCATCACGGGGACGCCAGCAGAAGCTGAAAGAGAAGCTGAGAGAGAAGCAAGAGAAGCAGAAGCTGAGAGAAGACCGGAGAGCACAGAGTTAAGACTTGCTGGGGGCTGGGAGGCTGCCTGCTGTGTACCTGGTAATCCCAATAAAAACCTGCAAAACCACTGAGGACTCTAACTACTCCTTTACCCGGTCTGCTGGATCCTAGAAAACCTGCACAGTGTCCATTCCTGCCACTGTACCCTCCAATGAGAGCATCATGACAGCAGGAAAGTCTGGTGGAGGCCAACTTTTATGGTCTTCCCAACAGCAACACGCACCATCACCTGGTGAGAGCATGGTATTTGAGCCAGCATTGTCACCTGGAAACATGTTGGAGATGCAGGTGCTTGCTCGCCCCCACCCCGCCCCTACCCTATGGCCCTGAAACTTTGTGCTCATCCTGGGTTGGGGAAGGGCAATAGGGCAGCTTGGGAAGGGGGTAATTTGGGGCCAGCCTGAGGCTCCAGGGGAGCAGGATTGCTGCTCACCTAGTGTTCTAGGACAATATGGTTTGAACTACCAGGGGCCGGCCTTGAGACTCAGGGCATGACATTTGAGCCATCTGAGAGCTTCACCAGGCTGAACTGAGGGGCCTGGAGGCCCAGCTAGTCAAGAACTAGCTCTTTAGAGGTTAATTTGAGAAACTTGTGTCAATCTACAATCTTCTCTTCACTCAACAAAGCTACAAGTATGTGAACTTAACCCACAGTGATGCTGAGCCTAACTTCAAAGCTGATAACTGTTGCCCACTCCAAACCAGATCCACACTCCCCATCCAGGGCCCTGCAAGAAAGGTACTGATGGCCTGACCCCTAGATACCATTCCAGTTCTGGTGTGGCTCCCACACGGGGTGAACTCTGCCATGTGGCCCAGGCAGAACCCCAGCTGAAGGGCCCCCTTCTAGAATGTAGTCTGGGGTTATGCAAAGCTCTGTTCTGGTTACTTACAAATCCTCTCCTGTTTCTTTCTTTTCAGGGTAGAGACTGGAACTGTGGGTCCTCTAATGACAAGAGGACAGAGGTGGGTGCTGACACCCTCACTACCCCATCCCTGTGCTGGAGTGCACAGCCCTGAGGCTTCACTAGGGGAATGACAATGTGCAGGGCATGAGGGAGCCACATGTGTAAAACTGTTGGGGTTGCTGGGGGCTGTTTGGGAACAGATACCATGTTTCTGGGACAGTCAAATAATGAGAGATGGGAGCAGTTTGGACAAGGAGCGGATGGCAGACAGGGTTTGCTCAGGAAAAGCCTGTGGTCCTGCCAGTGTCTAGCATGGAGATGGATGTTGCCTGTTTCTGATACTCTTGATTGGTTCAATGAGCTCTGTGAGGTGTTTTGTAGACCCCTCAGTTGTTGTCGCACAGCTGTATTGTGGTTATGGGTTTGGTAGGAAGATGCTCCCCACATCATGTCCAGCACCCATCTTCTCCTCATCACTTGTCTTGATGGTGTTGACTTTGCTCTCCTGACTGGCCTGTGTCAGTCGGGCTTCCTCATTGTCAAAGAGCTTCCCTTTTCTTCCATTGTTGATCCTATCTTGGACCTGAACTTTCTGGGTCAGTTGCTACAGCGGCACCAAGAAACTTCTTCCAATTGGAAAGACGCTCTGATGCTTTTCTAAGTCCTTCTGGGGCAGAAATGGTCAGAGGTGTCTGTTCATCATGCCATTACTCTAATTGCAGTGTGTTCAATATAAAGTATCCTCCCTCTGAGGTAGAAATATCTAACAGCATTTTGTGAAATGTTGACAGATTTCTTTTTTCTTTTTCGACAAGAGATTTCACTCAAGAATTTTGGCAAAGTTGTATTATCCCCTTTCTATAGTCAGTGAGTTTGTCTTTCTGGAGATTGTACATTGATCGTGGGGAAAGTGGTATAATGTAGTTATTCCATGCTTCCTATGAGAGAGGAAAACAGTGTTTTAAAGTAATGAATTATAAGGTTGTTTAAGTAATGAATTATAAGGGAGTTTAACCAAAGGACATCTCAAAACATCTAAAAAAGGAGGGGGAGATGTAGTGATTAAGACAGGTTGGTTAATCCAGAAAGCTATTATGACTTCCATTGCTAAAAAGTGGATTCAGAGATGAGTTTGAAAAGAGAGGATGGGCTGGGAAGGAAATTTTGATTTATCTTGAAGGTTTAGGCATTAGAGAGTATTAAAGGATTTTTAGATGAGAAAGTAAAAATAATGTAAAGTTATATTTCAAGAGAGCCCATTTGTGGGGTGGAGGATAAATTGGAAGGGCTGGGATAGGAGGCAGGAGACGAGCAGATCTATTGAAATCATCAAGAGCTACATGACAGAGATTAAAGCAGAGGAGGAAGCAAAGGTGGAGAAGAGGAAGGATTTGAGGCTAATTCTGGGGCTAGGCTCCTAGGTGACTTGGTTCACAAGTCAGGGCTAAGGAAGAGGAATGTGTCAGGCGGGGTTGTTTGCTGGTGAAAGCCACCAGAGGGAAAGGTTTGAGGGTGCCGTGGATTGCAGGAGTGGGCAGGAAGTGGGTGTTGATGGGAGCTGTCTGTGGCCAGAATGGTGCTGGGGCCCTGGAGATAAATACAGATCTGAGAGTCCTCCAGTCCTGGCAGAGGTAAAGTTACCACAAGGAAAGGGGCAGATGAGGCCAGGAGGTTTAGACTGGAGCCCAGCAACAGCAAGGCTGATGGCATGACTCATGGCACGGGGGCACCCTTTGGACTCTGTGAGCCCTTACCACACAGACTGGGGAAACAGCCAAAGCCAGTGACCCTGTCAGCAGCCCCCAGATACCTGCAGGTGGCTGGAGCGTGCAATGAACCACTAGCTGCCCCTGCCCGACCCTCTCAGGTTTTCTGGATGCTTAACTCTGGTATTGGTCATGTGGCCAGGCGCTCCTTGTACTCTCACTGCAGCTGGTTCTAAATGAACTGGGATTAAGGAGATTTATCTGCTCTTTTGAAGCTCACTGTTGAATGACTTTAGGAGAAACCTCATTCCAGAAACATGAAGAGATGACAGGGACTCCTGGGTGGCTGCTTCAATCCTTACCTTGTTAGGAGTTGGTGCCTCAACTCTGTCTGGGTTTCCCAAAGACCACACGGAGGCCAGAGATGCAAAAGCAAAAAGGCTTTATTGCTACCTTAAGCTAGGGTCTGACTCTTCCTGGTGTTCTGACACAGCAGTCCCTTCAGGTTAAGAGAGGGACCCCCTCCCAGAGCAACCAGCTGTTTTTGTACTTTGTTGACAGGATGCGGGGACTTTTCACACCCGGGGCAGGGTCCACCCTGATTGAATAGCTCTCATGGTGCCAGCTAGGTTTCATTTACCCTTGGCTTGTGGTTTTTGCCCCGAAACGAAACTACCTGTGCCCTTTTGAGATGGCAGTTATTTCTCAAAATGGCTGCAGTCTTGCTCATCTTACAACCTCGTCATCATTTTGTAGAAATGGTAGTATTATAAAATGGAGAATATGAGGCAAAGAAATTCACAACACTTTGCAGGATCTTATTCATTGTTTTCATTATACCTTGTTCTAAAAAAAAAAACAAAACCCAAAAAAAACCAGCAACACAGATACTTGAAACTATTATCCTCTTAGTAATTGTCACTACAGATGAAAAAAGTGCATTCAGTTACAGATGACATAGCATAGAAGATTTCCAATAAATAACAAAACTTACCTATCCTACCTTCTCCCACTTGCAAAGCTAGTTGAGAGAAAAACCTCTGTAAATAGTAAAATTGTCACATGTCCACTAACCTCCAGAGTCAGATAAAATACTCCTGTCTTATGGCAACCATAGACTGTCTAGGCAAACACTGCAGGAAAGAGGAAGCTGCAGCTCTGGAAAATATCCTCCTAAATAGTCAGTATTTACACTTTTAAACGTTGATCTTATTAGTTGTATGTATTGTAGTTATTATTTTATCATGAACATATCTATTAATTTTATTCATTTTTAAATTACTTTTCTACCAATTCCTCTTCCCCTCTTCACTTTAAATCCAAATTCTGCTATCTACTTTGAAATCAGGAAAACAAAGGCAAGAATTTTGCCAATCTATTGAGCAAAGGATTTTGAGAGCCAGGGGCGTGTGCTCTCGGGGCCATGGTCCTGAGCCTTGCGGCCCACGCAGGATGACCTGAGCTGGCAACAGTTGCTCAGTCAGGAGGCAGGGAAAGAGGACGTCTCCCCACTGAGAACTTCAAGCTAGAACAATGAGCTCTGGACAGGCATGCCATTTCCTCCTATGGTTGCAAGGGCTGGCACCTCCGGATATCGCCAAGACTCGAACTGTTAGGAATGCATCAACCTTGCCCTGCACTCCCCCGCTCAAGATTGTGTCCATAAGCACTCTGCACCAGGACTGGGGTCTCTGTCTGCTCGGCGACAGCCACCTGGCCCAGCTTTCACTAACACACTTGATTCTCGTCTTTCCTTAATCTCCAACCTTCCTCCCTCAGATTCTGCTTGACCAGATTGGTCCCGAGCAAGTGGCACCCCAACAGGGAACTGGACTCTGAGTACAAGGACACTTCAGGCATACAAGGTGAGGAGGCTCTCTCCAGGAAGGGCCGTCACTGTGAGGTGAGAGTAGGCTAGAGCCGGCTCTAAAACATGGGGCAAGGACACTAGGAGTTACAAGCTAACCCTCTTACATAGTCTAAGGACAATAAACAAAGCAAGTGGCGCCACAAGATAAGAAATAAAATCGTTACATTAGCTTATGTTCTATTTGGTTTGTTTTGAATCAGCTGCTCATTTAACCTAGAACATGGGACAAATAAACACGGAAAATGAAGCTCTACTGGATTCTGACCCAAACCCTGAGTCTGACCCTGACCCAGCCCCTCTCCAGAGGCTCATGCTGGGGAAATGTTTACTCAAGTAGAAGCTGCTGCTGTACCATCTACTAGATCTTTTGATAAATTCCAGGAAATCCTAAAGGTATTTCAATCCCTTACCACCACTCCCAACCCACCAATCCCCCAGGGTCTCTCAAAAGTGCTGGGCTACAAGGTAACAAGGTGGCAGGAGGAAGATCCCCTGATAACCATCAGAAAGAGATTCCCCTGGTATCCTGGTGGAAGAAACTTGTATTTAAATAATTGGGAAAATGTAGGCAATGGCTAAGTGAATCAGCCAGCCAGGTAAGAGAGTCTCACCTTCCCACTTGCAATCTCTGTCAATTAGGATTAAGACCCTTTAAAAAAAAAAAAAAAAAGATTTATTATTTATGCATACAAGAACTGGGGCACAGGCCAGAGATGCAGGGGGGTGAGAGGATTCACCAGAGACAGAGTGGGGAGCAGAACTGGCAGACTGACTCAAATACACTGCTGAGGGGAGCAGCGGGCGAGTCAGGAGAGGTCTGCTGCGCCATGTGGGTCACCTCCCTGGCCGGGAATTGAACTCGTGCTTCAGTGGCTGCGGATTGCTTCATAGGTTGCATCTCAACCTGTTGCACCACCAGGGAGGCCCCAGGACTAAGACCCTTTCAAAGGAATAACAATCTATTGCATCCAAATGGTCTGGGGGCTCCTGCCCTAACTTTCTTCCTCTGTGCTCCACCACAGTATGGGTGTGGCCAAGGTCCAAAAGCGAGATTACTGCCTCCAACTGATTTTGAGCCACTCATAGAAAATGAGTGGAGAAATGCTTCAAAGATGGAGAAATACTTCAAAGATTTTCTAGTTATTTGAGGAGGAGGAGGCCAGAGTCCCTAACACTGGAGTTTGCCATTTGTGTTTCTAAGAAAATTAGAACCACCCGTGTTGAAACAACCCAGAGGTTGCCTATCAAGTTAAGAATCTGCCTCTGCAGCGCCAATTGGATCCTGGCCGGCTGGCGAGAATGTCACATGGCTCAGCAGACCTCTGCTGTCTCACCCACCTCTCCACTCAGCAGTGTTTTTTGTCAGTCTGCCTGTTCTGTTCCCCACTCTGGCTCTGGCTCTGGTGAATCCTCTCACCCTCCCACGCATCTGGCCTGTGCCCCGGTTCTTTTATAAATGAATAAATCTTTAAAAAAAAAAAAAGAATCTGCACCTTGCCATATCACCGTGATATTGCCAAATGTCAAGTAACATAGGCTATCAAGGGGAAAGCAGGAAGGTGTCAGAATGCAAAGGGAAGAAGCAGATACCCTAAAATTTTTAAGAAAACAAATCGTCCATGTGCAATGGGAACCAGGCTGCTCCTTCTAACCACTGTGGAGCCTCATCATCCAGATTTTACTTTATGGTATTTTATATTTTTAAAGATTTATTTATTGATTATACAAGAATCGGGATACAGGCCAGATGCGCGGGTGGGTGAGAGGATTCACCAGAGACAGAGCAGGGAACAGAACAGGCAGACTGACGAAATACACTGCTAAGGGGAGCAGTGGGCGAGACAGGAGAGGTCTGCTTGCCATGTGGGTTGCTCCGAGGCCAGCCGGGATCGAACCGGCACTGCAGAGGCTGCCGACAGCTCACAGCACGGCGTTCAACTGCCTGCACCACCAGGGGAGGCCCATCACCCAGAGTTTAAATAGAAATGATCTCTGATTCACAAAGGGGTGTTGTCAAATGCAGAGTGGAGGTACTTGTAGACATAGTCTTAAGACAGCTCAAATTCAGCTTTCTCTCGGTTACTTTTTTTTTTTTTAAAAGATTTATTTATTTATACAAGCACTGTGTACAGTCAGAAGTGCCGGAGGGTGAGAGAATTCACCAGAGCCACAGCAGGGAACAGAACAGGCAGACTGACTAAATACACTGCTGAGGGGAGCAGCGGGTGGCAGGAGAGGTCTGCGTGCCATGTGAGACCCTCGCCCAGCAGCCGGGGATGGAACGGCTCTGCAGAGGCTGCGGGCAGCTTCGCAGCCCAGCGCTCAACCGCTGCGTCACCGGGGAGGCCCTCTCTCGGTTACTTCTTGAGGATGCACTCCAGCAAAGTATGGTAGAAGAGGAAGGGGAGCATGAGATGCAGGAGCAGGGCAATGTCATCCCAGACGGAGTGATGGCCAACCCAGTGGAGGACACTGAGTCCTAACAGGGAAACAGTCCAATCTGGAAAAAATGATGAAGACTATGGGGGCCTCCTGCAAGTAACAAAACCAAGATCAAACCAAACCTACCTGATAGAGGTATGAAGTTTAAGATACAGACCCAGGATTAAGGTTGAAACTTAAAACTGTAGCTAGGATAAGCAATCTGAGCCATTTATGAAGGACAGCGCTCAGCAATCAAGGAATACAGAGTAATCAGACAGTCCTTAGGTAACTGAAGTACTGCACTGTTGTGTTCAATCATGGAAGGTAGGAAAGGAAAATCTAGTGGAAATGGGAGTATATATCCTTTCAAGTGACCAAGTGTTACGGCTGTCTACCCGTCAAGAAATGTAACTCTCACTTACAAAGGGCCATTTTTTACCAATATATATCTACTGTTTACTGATTTTTATGTTCTGGTTCTCATTTCTTTATCAAATTAAAAAACTGAACATAGGACAGAAAGCAAATTTTAAGTAGATAAGAATAAAAGTATAGCTACATTGTATTATATGTATTTCCCTGATGGCAAAATAGGCATTTTTTCATGTATATCTATATGTATACACACACACAATTATATATTATATAATTATATAATTTTATAATTTATATCAATAATCCATCTGGTTGCTTTTTTCACAGGGAAAGGATATTGTTTCACAATCATTTTTTCCACACAGAATCCAATCACTGCTCTGCTGGGAGACGTTTGTTATGGATCAAGAGTCTAAATATACCGGAATTTGTTTTGATGTTCTTTTCTTTATCCTATTTGTCTGTCTTTCCAAATGACTGTAACTTTATCAGTTAGAGTAAATAAACCAGTCCT